CAACCTTCAGGCTCCTAGGGAAACTCAGGGCTCAGATAGCTCCCCGAGGAGAGACTCCCTCCCTGGGCCCTTGGGGTACAATGCCTTCAGGGACTGTGGCGATGCATTCACCTGCCCCCTTTCCTACAGCACGTTTCTGTCTTCTACTCGTGGACATTCTGATGGTCACCCTGACCTCTTCCTAACACCTCCCTGACTTTTAGGAAGCACATTACTACCCACTGCTTCTCTAATTCACACGATACGCACACGATTCTCCAGAAGGAAAATAGAGCAAAATTTGACTATTATGGAAGTTTGTGGATGCTCAGAAATGGATCTCAGGTTCTAAAATATATGTGATAGATGGATGGATAGACAGACGGATGGATAGATAGGTAGGTAGATAGATAGATAGATAGATAGATAGATAGATAGATAGATAGACAGACAGACTCTTACCTGGGTAGTAGGAGCAGAACAAGAGGGTTTTCTGTCAGACATTATTGACTCCAAATCTACAAGGTTCTGGTTTGTTGCGTTCCCCTGTTCCCCAATCTGATGATCATCACTGAAGTGTTGGAACACTGTATGACTGAAAATGGACCATGATCCACTTTGTAACTATCTCACAGTGACTAAAAAATATATTTCAAAAAACACAAACAGAATAATAGAGCTTTGGGGAGCCTTGGAAGGATGCAAAGGATGGATGTGGTGATCAGCTGGGTCAGGCTCCTGGAATTTCATGTTCCAGCTATAGTCTAGATGGCCTCAGAGACCTTTGTCAGCAAAGCTCCATCCACCACTGTCCTTTTCCTGAAACCTGGCTAGATTTGAACTCAACAGAGACCTATCACTGCCAATGGGCCAAATTGCCTGGCCCAGATTTTGTGGTTTCCATAAGTTGCATTGTTCAAGTGTCATTATTTTAAACTCCTGACTGTGCCAAAAGAAGACAAGAGTTTGTAATTAGTTGTAATTTCAACATTTGGATGCATCAGGAGTTGTATGTTTTACTCGTTACCTGATAACAATAAAAAGAGAAAGGAAAATAAGTCAATGTGGGAGCAAGCAGTCCTGAATATATACATTTATAACATAAACATGGCACATGCTAGGTCAAGGCACAGAGAATTAGAAGACAAGTTAGTGAAATGAGCTCGTTTCTCAGAGCTGACTGCTTCTTCCCTTCAGAAAAGAAATGTGGAAATCTATGAAAATCTAGTCAAAAGGTTATTTTTTTCAGAATTCCATAATTGATGCCATAAATGATCTCATCAAGAGAAAAGGTGATTTTTCCAAATTAGCTCAGCACAATGAGAAAAATCCAACCATTTGTGTAAAATGGAAAACTCAATGAATGATTCCCTTACCAGTTCAGAGCATTTGTTCATTCATTACATCAAGTCTGAATGTTAATCCGAGTGCATAGTTTCGTAACTTTCAAATGTCCTCCTTTTAACAAAATTGTTTCTTAAAATCTGTTAGCATTTCTGGGAGGAAAAAATATCACACAACCTTCTACATGGTTCTGATACAGCTCTTTACTGCGTTCTTTGTTTGGAACTTGATAGCTCATGCATAGCAAGACCATTCTTCATCTTTATTTTTGATCACGCACAGACTCTGGGGCCAGTGCAGACTTAGCATCCCGAAAGAGTGGAGGTATTCTCATGGAAAGATCGCAACATCCTCCTGGTTTCATGTGGCCCCTTCCCTTAGATGCTTCTCTCTTACCAGCCTCCAGAAGACACATTTCCTGGCACCCCACTCCATCCCTTCTATTTCTTCCTCTCACTTTTTCCAACCAGGCACCTGAACATCTCTCCACAAAGTCTCTGTGACCTTCAAACTGTAAAATGAAAAGAAAACCTTTAAATCTTCATCTTAATGGACTTTGCTATGAAATCTGACAGCCTGACCACACTGCTTTTCCTGGAAATCATTCCTCATTTTTTCTCCATCACTCTTTTTTTTTCTGTCTTTCTGCTCTCTAAATAAAGTTATCTAAAAAAATCTCAGCAGCGTCTCTCCCATAACCCGTAGCCTGGTCTGTGTATCAAAATCATCACCCCTTCTACCACAGTTCCCAAACTTCTAATCTTCCTACCCTTTTATCTAAAAAAAAAAAATGCATCACCATCTTCTTACTTACTAAGACTGAAATCTAAGATTCCTGCACAAGACTCTCTCCCCGACTTCTTTTCCTCTCTCCCACCTCAGGCCAAACTTGCTGGTCACCTTCCTGAATCTCTTCCCTTCTCTTTCACTCCCACTGCTGTTTTATTATTTCTCTTTTATGAGAACATAGTATCATCACATCTATTCTCCTGGTTTCATCTCCCGAGAAATCTTTCATTTCACTCTAGAGCTTCTAATGCACAAATTGATCATGATAACTCCCTATTTTAGCCCTGTAATGAGTCCTCATTACTTTCAACCTCCTTCATTTGGGGGTGCATGTGGAATACAAATCCTGAGGATAATAATGAATGCATAGCACTGAAGCAATAGCACAGGTACTCGCCTTGCATGCAGCTGCCCCTCATTAGATCTTGAGCACCATATATGGCCCCGTGAGCACAGCCATAGGTCACTCAGGAGCTCAGTCAGAAATAGTGCCTAACCAGAGGGGGGCAGGTGAGAGCCCTCCCCACCCCAAGGGACCCAGCCTCAACAGCCAAAAACCTCCAGAACTCAACCTCTGTCATGCTCAAGGCCACTCTCCTCATGATCAGGCGAGCCTCATGCATGAGTGAACATATTCTTGGATCACACAGCCGCAAATGTGGCCATCATAAGACACTCCCTACCCAACGGGAGGACAGTGACAATGACAGTGACCCATTCTCCATAAGTACCACACCACATTTGTTGGGGTTAGGATAGTAGGCAACAAATCATAGAGGGAAATATATATATGCATATATACATATATACATATTTATATATATATATGAAAGCTCATATCACTCAACCTTTAACAATGTGTTAATGATATCCTAAAGAATGTCTTAATGGGGGGCTGGAGCACAGCAGATAGGGCGTTCGCCTTGCACGCGGCCAACCGGGGTTCGATTCCCAGCATCCCATATGGTCCCCTGAGCACCGCCGGGGGTAATTCCTGAGTGAAGAACCAGGAGTAACCCCTGTGCTTTGACGGGTGTGACCCAAAAAGAAAAAATAGTGTCTTAATGGCCCCTGCCAAAATAGAACAATCTTCACACAGTTTCCTATATGAATACTTTTTCGCAAGCATTTTCAGCAGTTCTTCATAACAGACAATACAAAATATATTATTTCAGTTGTGCTTTGGGACAGGGATCGGGGCTTGAGATGGAAACATCCCAAATCTGGTGGTGGAAATGTACAATGGTGGTGGGATTGGTGTTTGAATATTAAACACAATCAAATATTGTGAACTACCTTATAAAATAAAATGGTCCCTAAGCTCTGCTGGGTATGCACTGGACACCCGCACCATGCACCCCAACTCTGCCCTTCCACAAAAAAGTAAACTAATGGAACTGGAAAGATAGTACATTGGGCAAGGCACTTGTCCTCAAGGCAGCTGACCTAGGTTAGGTCCTAGCACCAACATTGTCTTTTGGGCACTGCCATGAGTGGTCCCCGAGCACAGAGCCAGGAGCAAGTTCAAAGCACAGCTGGGTATGACCCAGAAACCAAAAGTAAAGTAAACTAAAGTAAAATAACTTCATTTGGGGAACAAGAAGTTCTAATATGCTCCTAATTTATTTTCTGCTGCTAGCCACTACACCTCCATATGTTTCCCAGATATTTTCCGTAAAGAATTAGGTTCCCTTTCTGTCACTCCAGCCTGCTTCCGGACTTATTCACCATGGGCCAAATGATAGAGAAAAGAAAGTTTGTAAAAGCAGCATTGTCCAATTCCAGGAGATCGAATATCAAACTTCCAGTTTGGTTTCTAATCTGCTACGTGGTTGAAAGGACCACTTGACCTGCTGGGACCTAATTTTGTTATAAGTGCAATAAAGAGATTATTTTCAGGCGGTGTGGAAGTCCTGTGAGGCTCCAGTGCTCTGGAATCACCAGGAGTATCATGTCTTGGCAAATACAGCTCATTGTGAACTTCGCTGGGCTGGAGCGATAGCTCAGCGGGTAGGGCATTTGCCTTGCACGCGGCCAACCCGGCCGACCCATGTTCGATTCCTCCACCCCTCTCAGAGAGCCGGCAAGCTACCGAGAGTATATCACCCGCCCAGCAAAGCCTGGCAAGCTCCCTGTGACATATTTGATATGCCAAACACAATAACAACAAGTCTCACAATGTTACTGGGCCCGCCCGAGCAAAATTGAAGAACAGTGGGAGGACAGTGCAGTGCAGTGAATTTCACTGTTCACTGTGCTGTGTGACTGCATTGTGGGTGGCCCCCATGTGAGCACATAATAGTTTAGAGAATCGACTCCAAAATCCCAGAAGTGTGCATGAAAAGCTTCCAAGAAAAGGGGTGCAGATCCCAGAGGGAGATCAGGAGCTCACCATTCCCATAGATGTGTTTTTAAAAATTGAATCAATTAATTAAAGAGCTGTGATTTCTCAGGTTATCGGTAGAGGAGTCTCAGGCAAGCAATATTCCAACACCAATCCTGCCAGCAACATCAGCTTCCTCCCACCAGGGTTACTGTGCTCACCTTCCCCATCTAACCCACCCACCCCCCGACTGCCACCCTAATGGGCACATTTCAAAGTTCCACAGTGTAAGTTTAGGTCCCATGACCGCAGTGCTGTCGAGTCTGCATTTGGGTTATATAACTCTCTCACTCTTCCACATCCCTTGCATACCCGAGGCCCCTGAAGCCGGTTCCCATGGGTGCCTTGATTCAGTTTTCTGAGCGCCGGCATAAATCTGCTCTCGAGAAGGGATGTGGGTATCCAGTCTGGTCAGAACTGTGCCCCTTGGGGGTCCGTGGTGAGTGTGAACTTGCTATGACTCAGTCCTGCACCCCTCTGACCATGACACCCCCTTTTCTTGCAGACGGAAGCCCTTACACCTGGTGGGTTGGCAAAGCCAACGAGAAACATTACTACTGGGGCGGTTCCGCACCCGGGATTCAGAAGTGCGCCTGTGGCATCGACCGTAACTGCACCGACCCCAAATATTACTGCAACTGTGACGCCGACTACAAGCAGTGGTGAGTGTGGTGTGGGGAGTGGGGGGCAGACAGAGCGGAGAAGAAGCTTGAAACATGCTGAAATCACCAAATAATAGGTTGCAAAAGCCGGGAAGGAGCCCAGATGACCAGTCCTGGGAACACTGTGACAAATACAAAAATGCAGAGAAAGAGGCGAGCCCCAGGAGGCTATAGACGCCTCCCTGATGTGTTCATATTTTATTCATAGAAATCTGGAGCCAGGTAGTAAACAGCGATTTGCATTATAAACTGCGGGTGTAACAATAGAGGGATGGCTGCGGGCAGGAGGGGAGGGTGGGCGATCAGGGTGTGGGGGACCACAGGCAGGCCTGTGTTGGGCTGAGGGAAACAGCCTCTTCTCAGGGGGAGCTGCTGCCTCCTACTCTGTTTGCTTTGAGTAGCTGGACAAGGGGAGAAAAATGGAAGGAGGAAAAAAAAGGCAAGGAGAAGAATAGTCCTCCACGCTTCCCTTCAGCCAGTGCTCACGCACCTGCTTTGCCCCCCTGCCTTGAACTGTTTCTAACTCTGATACCAATCACTCCACAAAAGATCTATTTTGGGTTCCTTTTCATCCTTCTGCTGGCCTTTGTCCTGCTTCACAGTGACTGGCTGAGCGCATATCAGTAAAAGATAAAATCAGCTTCATTCTGGGAATGGGTGGTGATGGAGGGTTGGGGGAGCACGGCCCCAGAAGTTGAGGATGGAAGAAAGTAAAGCCCCCCCCCCCCCCCCCCCCCAGGTTCCTTTCCAGAAGTTCAAGTCCTGCCTTAGCGCTCAGGGGGTTTAGATGCCTAGAAAGACTCGCTGTGCTCCGGTCCTGCCTCTGGGTGGCAGCAGAGAGCAGAGCCCGGGGTTTCCACGGAAACGCCCAGTCTCCATCACTTGATCCTATTTAGAAACAGCCCTGTTGACTCTCAGAAATAGTTTTCTGCTGACTGGCAGAAGGAAGTCCCGTTGTCAGTTCTAAGCAGTGGTCATTCAGAAAAATAAATGCTGAATTCAGCTTTGAAAACAGTTTGAGAGTGGAAACCCAGAGGGATGCTCCAGCTGGTAAGAGACGTTGGGACATTTCTTTGCCTCTGAAGCCACTTGTAAGAAGTTCACCTGAGTTCAGCAATGCGACGGAAGATGTGTTCAGGCAAGTGAACCCCAGACATGGTGCACTTAGAACCTGTACATCAGTCCGGATTCTTGTTCTCTCAGGAGCTCAGATACTGCCCGTAACTCCATGCCTTTCCCCTGAAGAGCCGCTAAGAAAGCCTCACCCCTTTGCTTCTGTAAAACTTGTTTCTTGCATCGTTGAAAAGGCGCTCGATTCTGTGCAAATAGAAAAGTATGATGTTTATGGTCAATAGCTAAAATGATCTTCCCTAGATAGCACAAGAAAGCAATTCTGAGACATCAAATTGGTCTTTGAATCCATCAGTACCTAGAAGCATCCCGGCCCTGGGGATGCTTACAGTGTTTAGGGAGAAATGCATGTATTTGGGAGGGGTGTCTCCATTCTCAGGAGCAGTGGGGAGAGAGCCAGGCTCAGATTCTGGATGCCTTACACCATGCCCAGATTTAACACTTTAAGGCGAGGCTTTTCAGCTACTCTGGAATTGAGATCTAGACCACAGGAGAAATATGTTTTTTTTCCCATTGATCTGAATTCCAGGAAATTCACATTTATGCTTCGAGGCTTTGTTTGCTTAATAAAACCAATCTCAATTGGCCCTTCTATGTGAAAATTAAATAGAATGTGAAAACCTTCTGTAAATCGTGCTGTATAGTTCTTCGAGGCCCGTAATTGCATAATTCTCACTGCAATTCCTGATGATTCCAAATGAGTCTTAGGAAATGAAAACAGACTGGGAGGCAGGTCCTGTCCTCCCCCAGCCTGCTATGGGTCTTGGTGGCATTGCAGCCCGCCGCGTGGCAGGATTACAGAACAGATGCCATTGGAGAAACTTACAAATCAGGGATCAGCAAGAAAAGAGACGATCCAGGCACCCCAACCCCATAAGAGCCTCAGAAGTTTGAATAGGATACTGACTGGATGAGAGCACCCAGGGGTGTCGAGTCCAGAGACTCCTACTCCTTTCATTTCCCAGCGGGGCGGGAGAGTGATTTATCAGGAGGAAGATACTGAACGGTTATCAGGAATATCCCTCCATCTCCTTTCAACAATCAGTTCCTGTCCAAAGTGAATATTTAAATATTCTTTTTAAGAAAACTAGAAAGAAGAATAATTTTCAACAATGCAAGCATGTCCCTATCTTTGGTTCCGTAGCTCGGAACTGGAATGAGTTTCTAGAAGAAGGGAAGAGTTTTTCTTCTCATTTCACACAGTGAAACTGAAACTATCTATGCTATAGATCTTACGACAACAAGAGAAATATAAGTGTTTTTCCCCATTGATCTGAATTCCAGAAAATTCACATTTATGCTTTTCAGCTTGAGATCTGGTTGGGATAATAGTCCCTCTATATCCTGATTATCTATGGTTTTTTTCTCATGCTTATTTATTTCTGTCAGGAAGATGCTATCAGGGCTGAAGAAATAGTACAGTGAGTAAACACTTCCTTCGCACACAGCTGACCCAGGGTCATCTCCCAGCACCACGTATGGTCATTTGAGCACAGAGCAGAAGTCAACCCTTAGCACAACCAGGTGTGACCCCCCCAACCCCCCACCCCAAAAAGGAAGGAGCTCTCATCAGCAGCCCTAGTCTCAGTTGTGATTAAAGTGTTTTCCTGGCTTCTAAACAAACCAACCATCCATGTACAGATTAGTCTGTACATAACACAATATGTTAGCATGACAACTTTCCATTTTTATATGTAAAAAGAGATTCCTTTTGGGTCAGTGAAGGGGAGGGTCATCCTTTCATTAAGTAAAATTCTGTTTAAGACAAAAAGAAGGAATTTCTTTGTTTTAATCCTGTTTGGTCCTGAAATGTGTTTCTCTCTCAGAGTAGATTTCCAAAGGCTCATAGCCCCATGTCTGTTACTCTCAACACTTACCCTACTGACACTTAGGGGTCAAAGTTCCTCTGTGGTTAAGCAGCATTTTCAGCATGATGCTTTCAGAGGAAGCAGTTCTCCATGGCTCGGTTAGGGCTTGGACCTAGAGCGACAGTGTCTGCAATCTGCACTGGGAATTTCCCAGCACTCAGAGCTAGCAATCGTCTGCTTGTTGGCAAGGTTCATCTCGGGTTGGTGCTGGGGCCATGGACACAGAAAAGCCCCAGGAGGGACAGTCCTGTTGGCAATGGGGAGGGACAAATGTCTCTTCTGGTTTTCAGAAGAAGCATGAAAATGATCTATGCTCCTCTGTCATGGGAGTGTGTTGGTGCCAACTCTCTTGGCACAGTCTGGCCCCCTCCTGTCACCTCCTGGATTGTGTCCTGACAGAAAGGTAATTGGGCAGCAGAGAAGATGTCAACTCAGTGTCGATACAGTTTGACCAGCGGCCCCTAAATAATATTGATGACAGGAGAGAGAGAGAGAGAGAGAGAGAGAGAGAGCGCTAATCAGCTGTGAGTCTGTCAAGTCTTCAGAGCCTGCTGTGGCTTCCCAAAATAGATCAGCCCTGCCAAGAGAATGCTAAATGGACTTGAACCCAGTAAAGAATCTAGTGATCTCAAGAACAACTGAACTGCAGTTCAAGTGAGCTTCATGAGAAAACACAGTTCCTCTCCCCCAATGGCTTTGAAATGAAGATATATTTTCTGGGGTCAGGGGTTGAGTTCCCCTAAAAATCAGTTATAAGGTGCCAAAGAGATAGTGAAGTGAGAGTAGTGTTGCATGCAACCAAATCCTGGTTTGATCTCTGACACTTCAGCCCTACCAGGAGTGATTCCTGAGCACAGAGCCGGGGTAAGACTTGAGCACTCCCTGGAGGGGTCCTAAACCAAATAATAATAATAATAATAATAATAATTGGGGCTATAGCAATAGCACAGTGGGTAGGGTATTTCCCTTACACGAAGCAGACCCAGGTTCAATTCCCAGCATCCCACATGGTCCCCTGAGCACCACCAAGATTAATTCCTGAGTGCATGAGCCAGGAGTAACCCCTGTGCATTGCCAGTGTGACCCAATGAGCAAAAATAATCATCAAAGTAATAATAATAAAGATAAGCCATGAAAATAAAAGGATCAAATGAAAAGATACCCTGTTAAACATAAAACGGAGTGCCAAGGAGCACTTTAGACTCATGAATGTCGGGTAACTACCCCACAAGCTGGCATTTGCTCTAATTCCCACCGAAGATTCAAATCCTGACACTGAAATTCGTCCTTGCGTTTTCCCAGCCGTGCCAACCCCCTCCCCCCGCCGTGTGAAAGTGCTCCTTCCCCTTTGTTCTAAATCTAAGTTCTAAACAGTCCTGTAGTGATCTTTCAAGATAAATCCAAACCCTAGACGTTTCCTGCATCCGACCACTCTATCCTTATAACTGTCATGATCACTGTCTGGTTTCAGACAAATTAGATTTAAGATTATTGATCGTCAGCCCTGCCAAGGCAACCGGGCTGGTCATTCCCAGATCTTGCAAATGCTCGAAGTTTCACGGCCAGCCAGCTGAGAACCTTTGCTGGAGCATTCGGTTGTGCTACATACAATAAAGATAAAACAATAAGTGAAAGGGCGTCATCAAGAGGAAAGTTCATTTTCGTTTTTTGTTGAGGGAGCCTGTGCTCCTTCCCACCCGGTTCCAGCGTTCTCGGGGCTCATTGGGGGCCAAGACTCCCTCAGACCCCGCTGCCTCATTTTAGATGAAAGGAAAAAGGTGGGAAAGAAAGCCTGACTTCCCCTCCAGAAACTGACTCCCATCCCGTTTGCATTTAATGAGCTAGGAGTCAGCCACACCATCACAGCTGCAGAGGACAAAAAAGAAAGAGCCTGGTTCCTTCGCCTTGAACTGGGCATGAAGGGCATTGGAGGAGATAACTCACAATTTCTGTCCCCGCAGTTAATTCTTCCAAACGACCCCATTAATGTCCTGTTATTAC